TATCTATCTATCTATCTATCTATCTATCTATCTATCTATCTATCTATCTATCTATCTATCTATCTATCTATCTATCTATCTATCTATCTATCTATCTATCTATCTATCCGTCCATCTATCCATCTATCTATCTCAAAATTATAATGTGCTGTCGCGATCCTCCAGTGAAATGTTGGTGTTTGCATAGTGTCTGAAACTCTGCAAATATTTCCTTTCACGAGAGAAAGGACCAGCTCCAAAAGTTACAGAACTGAAAAAATAAAACTTTCTCCAGCATTGTTGGTGGGTATACTTGTCTACGCTGAGGCGATGGTTATGGTTTGAAATTAGCTTTCTGCCAAGCAGTCAACCGTGAGGAAAAATACCTTTGATTTACTGCTGAAACTCCCAATGCTTCTGGGTAAATGACACCTTGAACTCCAGGATCTTTTCTGCAGTCGGCTTGAATGCTACAACGTATTGCGTCTGGTAGCTTAAAGGGCATATGAATTAACTAAAATAAAATTTCACCAAACAAACTGCAATTTTTCCAATTACACACAAAGGACACATGTCACTTAGCACTTCTTTTTAAAAAAAGTCGCTGAATACAGTGTTCACTTTGTGACTGTCTGAAAGCTGGAAATTTACTGTACTCCAGTAATTTCTATTACTTCCAAATAAAGGTCATTCTAGTTAGTTTAACCTGTTTATTAATTATTTTTAAAGCTCCAGAATGCGAAGTCATTGGGTCCAAACTCGCATTGCAGTTACATTTGTTATCATCTCAAAGTAAATTTACAAACTTTAATTAGATCGAACTCACGTAGCTTCTGGCACCATTCTCTGATCAATGCATCTCATTTAAACTGTGTGGGTCCTTTATACATGGCTGTCATTGGCGTAAAGTTCCGTTTAATTTCTGCTAATATCTATTATTTAACAAACCCTGTAATAGCTACCAATGAACAGAGTAATGTCCTCTTCATGGAGATAGCAAGAACTGCAGATGCTGGAGTCAGAGTCAAAACAGCGTGGAGCTGGAGGAACACTGCAGGCCAGGCAGCATCAGAGGAGTAGGAAATTCGACGTTTCGGGTCGGGACCCTTCTTCAGAACTGGATGTTGAGGAGATCTTTTCTTTGTTTTTGCTTTTTGCTTATCGATTCGCTTGCTCTGATTCACTAGTTTCCATTTCAAAAGTTTATCCGAGGGTTATATTTCACTGTTAACTCACTATTTGTTTATCAGGCATGCATTTTTCTTTTACAGTACATTTTTAAATGATTATGTTCAGGCAGACCAATTTGAAAAATACGCTAGGGGAGACATTATTCAAAGTAAGAAGGTTCTACTTATCACACGGTTCAAACTGTTTCGCCACATACATCCATATTCTAAACATAATCGCATTGGACATGCTCCGTATTAAGTTGCTTAAATTGAATTTAGAAAAGCCTGTTATGAATCATACGCTATTTTGTTGTGTGACAGCCATTTGGAGTTTCTTCAAAAAAGTCAGTAATTTGATTGGCTGATAATAGTATTGAACTTTTTTAGTTTTATCTGCTTGTCAATGAATGTCAAGAAATAAAGGGAGTTAATTTGTTCTTTTTTATTATTATAAATAAAATATTGAAAACTATTATCTGAACAATACCTCAAGCTGTTCAATTGTACTTACACCATTAAAAATATGGGAATACATTCAGTCAAGATATCTAGCAAAACAAAATCCCAACACGGAAAAATGTCCACGTTTAAGAATAACCTCGTGTAAATATACGAGCCCATCTGTGGAAGTTGGAACGAAAATTCACGCACAGCCTCCAGCAGGCAACCAACAGGCGGAATTTGTAAGCCTGCCCCTTCTGATGGGCATATAAATTCTGGTCACTGGACCGTAATTCAACACTCCTAGATCTGATTTGCTTCCAAAGATCTTGACAGAACCCTTTTCCGCAAGTTATCAGAATGATTACGTCGACATTTTTTCTCAGTTTGTTGCTGACGTTCTTACCCTGTGAGTGCTTATTCTTCAAGTCTCTCTTTGTTACTACCGCAGTCTTACTCTACCTCAGGCATGTAAAAGATTCAGGAATCATTTAATCAGCACTGATGGTCATGTTTTTGGCTTTCTTTTTAAAGGCGTCCAGTCAGATGTTATTTTGATTCAACCAGAGGCAGAGACCGGCCGCCCCGGAAGCTCCCTGAGACTGACATGTAAAGTCAGCGCGTTCGATCTTTGCAGCTTCCTGATGGATTGGGCCCGACAGGCTCCCGGGCAAAGGCTGGAGTGGTTGGTTGTCTTCGAAACAGCATTGAACAATAACTATGCGCCAGCGATTAAGGGTCGCTTTACTGCGTCCAAAGACATTTCAAACAATATCTTCACGTTGGACATGAAGAGGCTGAAGGTCGAAGACTCCGCCACCTATTACTGTGCAAGAGGCGCAGCCTGGGTACTTGGCTACTGGGGTCAAGGGACGGTAGTGACTGTGTCTGCAGGTAAGAACCTTGAACTTTCTTAGCAATATTTGTTTTAACTTTTTTTTTACCAGATGGGCATTTTGTGTGGCTGGGATACTTGAAACACCTAAAGTCTCTTAAAAAGTATGATGTATAAACAATGTTGAATGTCAGTGACACCGAACATTTGCAAATTTTATTATCGACAACAAACGTTAAGAATTTAAAAGTGTTTGAAATATTACCAAGCGTGATCAAAATATGCCGTTATTATATTACCGTTATTAATTTCTTGAATATATTCCACCTACATATAATGTTCTTACCATGATTGTATTTTCTGGTTTCGTTTATTAATTTTGTTCATGACAAGCAGGTTAGATTCGGTCTTAATTTTTTTTCTTTTTGCGGTGCTACACTTCATTCTGTTCATTTGAGTCGATGGTTTTTGATTCTCGTTCATCTCAATCTGTTGATTTGAATTGTTTTACTTGATTCTGTTCTCATTCGTATTAAGGTTTACCTCTGGTTAATTTCTATTATGAAAGTTAAATTAGAGTGAATCTGTAACATTTGACATGACGGATTGAAAAGATGTATCGCCTGGGATCAAAATCGCTGTACAGTTTATGTCTGTGCTATTTCTGACTATCTTGCCAACTGGTTTTGTCCGGTTGTAAATCGTCTGGTTTGGTGTCCTGTATCTGAGATAGTTCAATTTTATCTGGTGCTTCAAAAACACTTTTACCTGCCAGAAATATAATGTTTGATTAGGCGCCTCAGAAATGAGAGCCATGACCAAATTGTTACAATTAGAACGAACACTTCAAAAACGAAAGACAGACTGCGGGAGATAACAAGGTGTAGAGCTGGATGAACACAGCAGGCCAAGCAGCATCAGAGGAGCAGGAAGGCTGACGTTTCGGGCCTAGACCCTTCCTCATCCAGTGTTCATCCAGCTCTACACCTTGTTATCTCAGATTCTCCAGCATCTGCAGTTCCCACTATCTCTGAAACAGACTGCGGGAGTTTTGAAATCGGTTGTTAGTAATAATATATCTGCCTTGGGATTTTTTTGATTGAGCGAGGCAGAGGAAATGGCATGCTGTATATTGTATTCTTGCCTCAGTTGTGCGTGAAATGTTTGGTGGCTCAATGTAGAATCAGAAATTATTTTGCATCTTATTGTTAAAGAACCTGTCGTGGGCTGTTAGTGTTACTGGAAGCGATCAAATAATATACTTCAAAAGATTTTAATGTATTTCGTCTCAAGCGAATCTTCTGGTGCAGTACACAGGCAGTTCTATTAGAAACGGAGTTCCAGGGTTGAAATGCAGTGAGAATGAATTTACGGCAATGCAATTCCTCGTCTTTTTCCTCCATAATTCCTGTAGAGTTTGTATAATTCAGAGCGGCTATCAAAGTACACTTGGATAATTGTTGAAATGTTATTTCCATCGTGAAAACACCCTATAACTATTCCTGGCTGCTGAAAGGTGTAAATAATTAACATCGTTTATGCACTGTCAAACAGGTGGCTTGTTTAGTCCTAGATAGTGTCGAATTCATTGTATTCTGGTCTCTTGTGATGCAGTAGCAGTGTCCCTGACTTTGAGAAAAGTGGCCTGCATTCAATTCCAAGCTATTACATAGATATGTAATGCCATCTCTGAACAGGTTAATTCAGAGGGAAAAAGAACATCGAGTTCTTTGAGTGTTGTTGGAATGCTAAACGTAGAGGCCTGTGAAATCTATCAATCGTCATCCTCGTAGATGGAATTTGGGCTTGGCAATTTAATAAAAAAGAAACAATATTTGTTCATGGGATTTGGGCGTCGCTAGCTGGAGTTAATAGAGTTACACCCCACTGAAATTCCAGCGTCTAACATGTCCTTCTATCTTTCGCATTTATAACTAACCCTGAATTAATCGTCTCCCGAAGAATATTTGATAGGATAATGTTGAGCTTGTTTTATTTTATATCAGACAAGTGCTGTACCTGATCAGAAGAGTTTGACTGTTCAGTAGGATGGAGTTTCCGCTGAATCCAATACTTGCAGCAAATGGTGGCGGTGTTTCAGTTAATCTTCAGTTTATAACTCAGTTCTAAGAATCCTGTTCCAGCAGAAGTCAAGCAAACTTAATCAGAGTCTAACTTAATAGGTGTGAGTTCCCGTGCTTGAAAACATGAAAACAATTTGCTGAAGAAGGGTCACTGGACTCAAAACGTTAACCTTGCTTTCCCTCCACAGGCGCTGCCAGACCTCTTCTGCATTTTGCGTTTTTATTTCAGATTTCGAGAGCTCAGTTTTTTTTTCTTTCATTAAAATTCCTCTGTTGTCAAGTAAAACAGCCAATAAGTTGTTTGTAGAGAAAATGCGTTTTACCGAATTCGGTGATATTTAATATCAGATAATCACTGAATGTGAGTGACCTAATCTGGAGCCCTAGCTTCAGACGAAACAATATCACAAAACAACAATAACAGTCCAGAGTGTAGCGTCTGGTGTAATTGGCATTATTTTGACCACTTAAATGGAGAATGTGGATGCTACCATCCAAATATCAACAAGACTTTTAAAATAAATGTTTTCAAACATTATTTCATTGAAATATTTTAACAGAAAGTGCTCACTTGCCAGTGATATCATAACCAATACCTCAATGATAGGAAGATAGCAGCAGGAGTAAGGCACCCAGACCCTTGAGCTGTTCCACCATTTAATCAGATCTTGTTGGATCTGTGAGCTAACTCAATATGCTTGCCTTTGGCCAAAAAATATTTAACACCTTTGATTATCAAAGAAAATATATCCCAGATTTAATTATTCAATTGCACATAACAGAGCGACAAACCATTTCTGAATGACAATTCTGTGAGCACTTAAAGTGACACAATGAAGCTGTAATTAATGGCTCATGAGAATAAACTTTAAATCTCTGACAATTTCCAGTTCTAATATCACAATTAAGTTCGTCAGATCTCTTTAACTTAACATTATATTTCTTTATTCGAGACAACTATAATATGATTGCAATGCTAAAAATGAGGAAACCTTCATTCCCATTAAATAATGAAGAAATAGTTCTGTCAATTCAGTGAAAACATGGCAAAGCCGCACAGAAAGAAATCATTCAGCACGTCATCCCTGTATGGACACTGAACAAGTATATCAATATGTTTCAATTCTTCCAGTAGTTATTTGTGTCTCTGGAAAGGCATGGAGGTATCAGAATTCTTACATCTCCTTTAGAAGCAAGTAGTCATCAGCTTTCTTGAATAGCTGCAGTTCATGTGACATTAGCACGTCCACAGCGCTGTTAGAAAGTAAGTTCCATAGTTATGATCTAGAAAAAGTATAGGAAAGGCGAAATAGTTACAAGTGAAGGTCGGGTGTGATTTGGAGGAAACTTTTCAGGCGAAACACCTAGGTGTATGTGAGCCCTTGTCCTTAAAAGCAGAATTTTCGAGACGTGTTGCCGAAGGAAGATGTGAACATACAAATTAGAAGCTGATGAAGGCCTTTTGCTCCTTCTAGAATGCGAGTCCATTCATGACATCATCATAACTCTTGCTGCTCAACAGTTTTTCAAAGTCCCAATAAAATTTAACCCAATTGTTTACTGTTCAACTGAGTGTGGTGAACCTCTGGAATTCTCTGCCACAGGAAGTGGGTGAGGCCCAACACTAAATAGTTCCAAGAAGGAGTTAATTAGTTTTTTTAAGGGATGAAGGAAACAATGGGTACGTGGGATAAGGTGAACAGGGGATAATGTTCGATGATAAGTCTTGAAAATATTGAATGAAGCATGGTTAGCAAGTTTGCAATCAACCAAAATTGGTGGCATTGTGGACAGTGAAGAATGTTACCAAAAAGTATAAGGGGATCTTGATCAGCAGGAGCAATGGGCTGAGGAGTGACGGATGAAGTTTCATTTAGATGAATGCAAGGTGGTGTATTTTGACAAGACAAATCAGGGCATGCCTTAAACAGTTAATAGTAGCGAACTGGGGAGTGTTGTCGAACAGATGGAACGAGGGGTTCAGGTACATAGTTCCTTGGAAATGATGTCACAGGTAGACAGATTGATGATGAAGACGTTTGGCATGCTTGTCTTCATTGGTCAGAACGTTGAGTATAGGAGTTAGGATGGCATGTTGCAGCTGCACACGACATTGGTGTGGACACTTTTGGAGTATTGTGTTTGGTTCTTGTCGCCCTGCTGCACAAGGAATATTGTTAAATTGGAAAGAGTACAGAAACAATTTACAGGATGTTGCTGAGACTGGGGGGGCTCGAGTTATGAGGAGAGGCTGGATAGGTTGAGACTTTTTTTAAAAAATCATTTGAGCTTAGGAGGTTACATCGTGAGCTTATAGAGGTTTTTAAAATCATGAGGGGCACAGAGGTGAATAACAAATGATTTTTTCCCTCCTGTGGTAGTGGAATTCAACACGATAGGGCATAGTTTTACGTTGAGAAGGAAAGATTTAAGAGGGATCTGTGGGCAATTGTTTCACACAGATGTTGGTGGGTATGTTGAATGAACTGGCAGAGGAAGTGGTAGATGCAGACAAAGTTACAACATTTAAGTCATTTCGACAAGTACATGAACAGGTTTAGAGGGATATGTGCCCAATGAAGGCAAATGGGATCACTTTAATTTGGGAAAACTGGCCGGCATGGGTGAGTTGGACCAACTGGTCAGTTTCTGTACTGTATGACCCTATAGCTCTATGAATCTACGATGGAGCAGGCCCGAAGTTCGAAGGTGGTGAGCCGGTGAGAGGATAAAGTGTGAGCGAGCAGGATTTGATGTGTTGAGTGGCTGCTAGATGAGCTGGCATGCACATTGTTTACCAGGGTGGCTTCAAGGAAAATGATTACAGTTACATGGAGCTAGTTTAGTAGAATGGTACTTGGTAGGTGAGGGTAGTTTGAGTGGAAACGCATTAGGCGTGACATATGCCAGGCTGGTTAGTTCATGGGTCAGCAGGGTGCCAGGCTGTTTCAATGGTAGATGGTCACAGTGGCGAAGTGGCTGGTGGACATGATCTCAACATGTAATGCTTGGACTTTAGCAAAGTGGCAGGTGGCAAACGATAGATGGGAAGGTAAGTAAGATGCAATATGCACACGTTGACTTGGGTAAGATGAGAGGTAAGAGATCGAGGGCTGTGGTAATGTCCAAGGGATTTGGGTCCTGTCAGGTATTGTGAAAACAATGGTGCCAGGTCCAGTCAGGGCCAAGTACACCTTGGACCATGTGCAGGGAGGCAAGAAAGGAATTAGGTGAAAGGAGTTGAGAGTACATGTCCATCTGGAATATCGATTGTCTTGAATGTGTGGCATTGTCGTATGATGGGGTCCTGTCTTCCAGGGTGAGAGGGTATGTGGCAGGGTGGGGGTTGTCAATGTGAGTGGAATTTCAAGTCTAGACAGAGAGTGAGAGAACGGTAGTCAGTCTGAGAAATTAGAGCACTTGCTATGAACTGGGTGTCAATTTGATCTTTACTGAAGCTAAACTTGTTAATTTCTCGAATCATACCTGGGTAAATGTTCAGCTCAGTTAGCCTTAGCACTCCGAAGTCTCTGAATCTTAATGGAGGAATGCATATTTTCAGACGCCTCCAGAATTCAGATAATTGCCAATTAGAATTTTCAATTTCCAGGCAAATGGCTTGACGTCAGCTGCGACAGATATCCTCATAGACGTGGTGATTGGCGCTTGTCCGTGACACTGCAGCAACCTTCTTCCAGGAGAAAACATTCTGACTTGCATTGACAAGTGAAAATTAAGTTTTGCAACACACTTGTTCCGAGTATATTCTATCTCCAAGAAGGGTGACTTTAAATATTTCTCTTGACATTCAATGTTATTACCATTACTGAGTCCCACAAAATCAACATATTGCGAGTTGACAATGACGAAAACTGAACTGGAGTTACCACGTAAATGCTGTGGCGACGAGACCAGGTCAGAGACCAGGCATTTTGGACCGAGTAACTCCTCTCCTGTACCCATAATGCCTGCCCACCATCTACAAGGCACAAGACAGGAGGACGATGGGATACGATCCACTTGTCTAGATGAGTGTAGCTTCAATAACGGTCAAGAAACTTGACACCATTCAGCACAAAGGATTTCACTTCTTTGGCATCCCATTCATCGAGTTCAATATTCACTCCTTCACTACTAATGCAGAGTGGGACTGCTGTTAGCTCTCTCTGAATTCTTCCGCAGAAACCCAGCCAGACTCCTTCCCAGCAGATTCCGAACTCACAATCTCTACCACCGAGAAGAGTAGGGGCAGTGGATGAATGACAACATAACCAACTGCAACTTCCCCTCTATATTTAACGATATTATCGCTTCTTCACAGCTACTGGGCCAAAAGTCCTGCCACTCCCATCCTAGCAATACTGCGAGCGCGTTTGCTTTGTAAAGTCAATAATGGTGCAAGAAAGTAGCTCTCCAATTACACTCCTTGGACAATTAGCAACGGCAAAGAATGCTGCTGTAGACAGCAATGCCGACATCACGTGAACGAATATAAACAAAAAATATAGGGACCAATATTGTTTCGAACTCAGAAGTTACTTGTCATTCGTTGGTCCTATGGTGATACACGCTGAAGTCCTCACCATGAAGGCAGACAGTACCAACACCACACTCTCTGCCTCTTCCAGCTGATGCTCAAATTTGAGCAATGTTGATTTATCGGTCAATACAAGGTGGCATGGCAGGATCAGACAACAAGAAGGATGTTACCTCACCTGTTTACTTCCTCAATCCAAGACACTTCATGGAGTCAGTTGTCAGTGTTGATCACTGTCCTCGTAACTCTAGCCTGACCATCTAGCAATGTCCGCTACCTCAGGTAGATTTGTGCTGGGATAGGGTTTTTTTTTTTAAATGGTGAAACGAATGACATTTGTTGTCTTGCAATGATCCAATTTCCGTTCAGACACATCATGTTTCTGTCATTTTAGACTGGAATTACATGCAAAGGGTTCACACCGAGTCTCACAACTCAGAAAATCATAAAAGCCGCTTCATATTTTCACATCATTAGGTTTTTATGATTGGTTTTATTATCTTCCGGTAATCACGGATTACAGAGTTACTTTTGCAGTTCGGTATGTTTACATATCTTTGGATGCACGAGAAATCTGAGGTAATATGAAGTTGTAGCAGTTAATTTCAGTGAATCGGGTTACACAACAGCAACGATAGAAAGGGCAAGACAATTTATTTTCTGCATAACGTTCTTGATTGAGAAATGTAGGCATGCTGAATGAACAGTGAATCTCTGTCTCTCTCTCGCGCGCGCACTCCCCCGCCCCCAACACACACACACAAACAGAAATTGCTCGACAAACTTCAGAGTTCCTGCAGCATCTGTGGAGAGAAATCAGAGTTCTGAGGAAGGGTGACTGGACGTGAAACATTAACTCCGATTTCTCTCCATGGATAAAAATCGAAAAAACTGGGGATGATGTAAATCAAGAATGAAAACGGTTGCTATTGGAACAGCTCAGCAGGTCTGGCAGCATATGTGAAGAAAAAAAAAAAATCAGAGTTAACGTTTCGTGTCCTCAGAACTAGTTTTTGTTCTCTCCATGAATGTTGCCAGACCTGATGAGCTTCTCCAGCAATTTCTGTTTTTGTTTCTCATTTACATTAACCGCAGTTCTTTGGGTTTTATTTAGTGAAACTCTTCCGTTCTAACTTGTAATTCAATGAAAGCATCAATTGCGTTATTGGCGAAATTTTCAAACATTTGGTGGTGATGGGATCAGACTGTTCTTATTCCTTAATTATGTGATAATGGTCAAGATATAAGGCGTGTTTCAAAAGAGGGAACCGAAAGATCGTGACCAACAAATGATAGAAAACAAAAATAAGCTGAATTTATGTTGTAGATTTTAGCTGGAATTGACTGGAATAAGTTTATAGCTGCCTTACATTTGAGTAACAACTAATATCTAATTAAATGAGTCTAACTTGCTCAATCTCCCACTCTTTCCTAGCGACACCATCTTCCCCCACACTTTATGGCCTAGTCTCCTGTCAGCAACACAACACCTACGGTTCTGTCATCTATGGTTGTTTGGCGATGGACTACTCCCCTGATGTCATCACAGTGACCTGGAAGAAAGGTGGGAAGCCGATCATGACTGGATTCAAGACTTACCCATCAGTGAGAAACAAGAAGGGAACATACACCCTGGGCAGCCAGTTAACCCTCACTGAGTCAGAGGCAAAATGCGGCCAAATCAACTGTGAAGTTCGACACAGCGTGAGCGACAAGAGCACTGGAATACCATGTAAGTGACGTGGGAACTGAGATAAACAGAAATATGTGATTTACGGTATTTTAAATAAAACTTTTCACAGAGTCGCAGAGTTATGCAGCACACAAAATGGCCCTTCGGCGCATCCAGTCCATACCAATCAAAAACAACCACCCAACTATTCTAGTCCAATTTGCCAAAACTAGATCCATTGCCTTGTATAATTTGACATTTTACGTATGCGTTTAAATACTCATGACATGTTGTGAGGGTTTCAGCCTCAACATAATCTACAGGCACTGAGCTCCAATTCCATCATCCTCCAAGTGATTCCTTTCTAACCGTCCTGCCTTTACGTAAAAACTGTTCCCATTAGACATTGATCCCTCCACCAGGGGGCAAGGTTTTTTCTTGTCTATCCTCTCTGTTCCCCTCATAATTCCCTATCTCTATCATGTTCCCGCTCAGTCGCCTCTGCTCCAAGGAAAGCTCAAGTCTATCCAATCCCATTTCATAATTAAAACTCTCCAACCCGGGAAACACCCTGGTAAATCTCTTCTATGCACTCTCCAATGTAATCATTCATCTGATAACATAGATTCTGGAACTGCACACCATATTTTAATATGGCCTAATCAGCGTTTAATTAAGTTCCAGAAGTATCTCCCTACCCTTAAATTCAATACTTCGGCTAATAAAGGCAAATGTCCTACACATTTTCTTGGCATCTTTATCCACCACTGCATTTAATTCTGGTCTCCCAGCCATAGGAAAGATATTGTGAAACTTGAAATGGTTCAGGAAAGATTTACAAACGTAAGGTTGCTGGAAAAGCTCTGCAAGTCTGGCAGCATCTGTGAAGGAGAAAACCAGAGTTACCGTTTCGGGTCCGGTGACTCTTCCTCAGAACTGGTGTAAGGGTTGGATGGTTAGAGCTATAGGGAAAGGCTGAATAGGCTGGGGTTATTTTCCCTAGAACGCCAGAGGCTGAGGGGTGACCTGATAAATGTTTGTAAAGTCATGAGGGGCATGGATAGAGTCAACAGCCAAGGTCTTTTTGCCAGGTCAGGTAAATCCAAAACTAGAGAGTACAGATTTAAGGTGAGGTGGGGGGGGGGGGGGGGAGATTTAAAAGGGACCTAAACGGCAACATTTTCCACGCAGAGGATGATGTGTTTATGGAATGAGCTGCCAGACAAAGTGGTGAGGTTGCGTACAATTACATCATTTAAAAGGCATCTGGACGGGTGCATGAATGGAAGGGTTTACAGGGATATGTGCCAAATGCTGGCAAATGGGACTAGATTAATATAGGATATCTGGTCGGCACGGAGGAGTTGAACCGAAGGGTCTGTTCCATTCTGTACATCTCTACGACTCTGAGTTTATGGCAAGTCATTGTGCTATAAGGGATCAGCGGGCATGCACACCAAAGATGTTCACGCATGCCAGGGTTGCAGTATTCATAACGTTATACCTTGCAATTTTTTTTTTTCTGAACACGTGCATCACCTCACACTTATCCAAAATGATTTCCATTTGCGACTGATCAGCCTATCTGGCCACCCCCTCTTTAGCTTCCTGTGGTGTACAGCTGTCAAGCTCACTACGTACCAACTCGACAATTTTCTTTCCATCTGCGAAACTACTGGTCAACCCTCCTATATTCAAGTCTAACAGCAAGGATACAAACACTGATCCCTGTAGAACAGCGCTAAATACAGACCCTCAATTACACAAACACCTCACGACCTATGCTTCCTGCCACTCAGCCAGTTCTGGATCCAATTAGTCAAATTTCCTCAGATCCCATTGGCTCTTATCTTTGTTATCATCTACACAGCCGGTTACCTCCTCGAAAAATCCCCTTAAGTTGGTTAGACGTGACTTCCACTCAACAAAGCCATGCCAAGAATTTTTGATTAAACTCTTTCAAATGAAGATTAATTATGTTCCTCGCAAATGCTTCCAATATTTTCCCTACCACTGAGCCTAGCTTGACTATTCTGTGGTTTCATGCTTTCTGTTTTCCTCCCACTTGCTTCACGGTACCACATTGGCTGACCTACAGTCATTTGGCACATCCCCTATGGCCAGAGAGGAATTCAAAATTATTGCCAGCACCTCAACCATTTCCTCCGTTGCCTCACTTAACAACACGGGATACATTTCATCCACCCCAGAAATTTAACTACTTTTAATCCGACAAGACAACATAGAACATTGATTTATCTGTGCTAATTTCTTAAAGCAAATCACAATGTTTCTCCAGGGTTTCTATACCCACATCATCCCCTTTACTATTGAACACCGACACGATGTATTCATTTAGATCATAACCTACGCCCCGTTTCTAGACGCTGTAACACTCAATGGGTCCTATTATTTCCCTAGTTATCCTCCCATCATTAATCAACTTGCAACACAGCTCTTCGTAAACATATTTTTCATTATTGTGCCAGCCATTCTTCTTTCATGCTCTGTTGTGCTGTCTTAATTTCTCTTTTTTTTTAAACTTGCCCTTGCACATTCTGTACTATTTGAGAGCTTCTATTGTTTTGAGCCTTTGGCATATGCCATAAGCCTCCCTCTTTTCCCCTTTACCTAGCCCCGTATGTCCTTTGATATCCAGGGCTCATTGCATTTTTCTTCCCACGCTTTTTCTTTATTGGCACATGTTGGCCCCGTACTCTTTCTGTTTCCTTCTTGAATGCGTCCTACTTCTCTGATTCAGATTTACCAGTAAGTGTCGGATCCAAGTCCACTCTGGACAAATCGTACTCGACCTCATTAAAACTGGCCTTCCCACACTTCAGAATTTAGATGCAGGTCTATATCTATCTCTTTCTGGAACAATTTGAATCCAATGGATTTATGATCACTCTCTGCAAAATACTTCCCCATTGATATTTTAACCACTTGGTGGCTCCATTACCGAAAATTAAGTTCAAGTTCAGACCTCTCTTGCAGGGCCCTCTAAGTATTGTATTAAAAAGCTCTCCTCAGTGTATATTCACAATTCTGCTCCCTCTAAACACTTGAAACGATGAATGCCTCAGCCTACGTTGAAGAAGTTGAAACCCCCGAAATCATTACCCCATTAATTTACACGTTTCTGAAATTTGCCAACGTTATCTGAACACTTATATCTCTCGCACCTATACAGGAGCCAATAGTGCTTTCCTAGTAGTGTTTGCTTTATTTTGGTTTTTAAGTCCTTTACATCTGCCCTCATTTGAGGAGGTATCTACAATTTCATTCCTCTTCACTGCTGATTAATATTGTGGTTGACCCCCTCCTTCCATTTTACATCTTTCCCTGTCTCGCCTGAAGGCCATAAATCTTGGAATAATGAATCCTTCCCCTCTCTCAACATATCTCCGTGAGGTCAATTGCATCATTTCCTCATTTCTACCTTCAACTCCTCTGATTTGCTCGTCGGACTCCAACATTGCTATCTCGCTTTTGATTTCACTGACATATAATTTCCGTACCTTGTTTACTCTCTTGTTGTTTCTTCTAATTTTGAAACTTGATATCGCCCTGCTGATCTTTCTGTTTAGATCCGAGCTTCAATAGTACTCTGCACAATTATAGTCCCTGTAATATTTAGGGTAGTATCTGTTAACAACAATGAACCGTGATCGGAAACAACTGTATATTTTTTCTCAAATTCGTCAGATAATTTATATCAGAGACAGTAGGAACTGCCGATGCTGGAGAAACTGAGATAACAAGGTGTAGAGCTGGATGAACACAGCAGACCAGGCAGCATCAGAGGAGCAGGAAAACTGACGTTTCGGGTCTGGACCTTTCTTCAGAAATCAGAAATCAGATAATTTATATGATGTGTTTTCTTAAGGTTAAACAAATGCTGTCCATCCAACTCTTCTCCTAACTGTGAGTTCTAGTGAAGAAATCACAAGCAGCAAATTTGCAACCATCGTCTGTTCAATCATTGATTTCCATCCAAAGTCAATCTCCGTGAGTTGGTTGAAGAATGGGCGGCCCATGGATTCTGGCTTCTTCACGTCTCCCGCGTGTGAAGCGAATGGAAACTTCTCAGCGACCAGTCGGCTGAGAGTCCCTCTTGGTGAATGGCTCAACAGCGCAGTCTATACCTGTCAGGTCACTCATCAAGAGGTCACTCAAAGTCAAAACATCACCGCACCCCAGGGTAAGGGATACATCGCGAGATAATTACAAATCATTCCGAGCTCCGATGTGAATCAAATACACGAATCTTTCAGGCTTAGGAATTAGCACGGAGCAGGTTCTAATTTACCATCATGCCGTGTGTATCTATCTCATTTCAGACTGCATTACATTAGCATTGCTCATAATTTATCGTTGGAGCAGATCAGGAAAACATGCTATCCTGTGTGTTGAAGACATGTAGAGAGTGAGCTGGATTCACAGTGCTTTTGTTTTATAATTTGTTGACTGACCATACTTGAGAGACAGCCGGAGAGCAGAATCCATTATTGGTAACAGCCTCAAAAATAATGGGTGTGGGGGTCTGGGAGAGATCTCGTTGAAACTTAGAAAATACCGAGAGACAGAGATAGAGTGGACGTGGAGAAGATATTTTCACCAGTCTGCGAGCTTAGAACACGATGGCACAACCTCAGAAGGGAGGATCATTTCGAAGTGAGATGAAGAGGAATTGCTTCAGCCAGAGAGTGCTCACTCTATGGAACTCGTTGCTACAGAGGGCTGTGCAGGCCAATTCATTACGTGTATTGAAGACAGAGAAAGATAGACTCTTGCTTAGTGCGGGGAGCATGCAGGGGACTGGGGCTCAGAAACATATTTGCCATGATCAAATGGCGGAGCAGACTTGATTGTCCGCATAGCCTAATTCTGCTCCATTATCTTATAATCTTGTGGTCTCAAGATGAGCTTGCAGTGACCCATATTAAATAAAACAAAATGCGTTTAATTCTTTGTTGTCAGCTCAGGAATTATGTTTTGGCCTTGGGAATTGCACGACATAGATTTTATATGATATGGGGCTCTGTAACATCAATCATAATACCAGACTACAAACCAAACGAGTATTACAGTGGATTAACACAGAAAAACGTGATCTAATTGAGCTTCTGTCAGGAATTTTCTGTAAATAGTGAATGTGGCAGGAGAATAAAGTCTGGTCGGAATGCTACATTTGGGATGAATGAACTGGAAATTTGATCCAGGCTGATTAAACCTAGTTTCAGGATGGAGATGTTCACACGGTGAGTCGTGGAAGCGTGAATTTCACTAGCGCAAATTTCCATCGAGTTTGTACATTAATGAAAAACGCCCGTTTGGTTTTGTTTTTGTTCTGCGAGTAAATTAATAATTGCAGATTGGTAAATAAATTGAAAGTAGAGACCAGTCAATAACTAACTGAATGGAGGAAAACTCTTGAGAAGACACTCTATTTCCGATGCTGTTCAGTGTCTTGTTTCCAGATCTACTCCAAATTCAGTACGAGGAATAATACCTCATGACGTGTTTTAGAGAAGGATCTCACACCAATAATGCAAATTATTTTCAATCACGTTAAATCACATTGAATAGAATTTCCGTAGCCGTTCACTGCTCCTATAATATATTAAAATCTCTGCAAATACATGAAGAATAAGAGAATAATTCCGTTTAGTTACAGTTTGCCCGAAATTCGGGATTTGATTTGGCACTCAGCATAACCAGCAACATTTGCTTGTATGGTTCATGAATGAGCAGAGATTAATTTTTTTTTTTCCACAGGCATCAATAGATGGTCTTAAACGAGAGAAGGACTCTGAAAGGAAGGTTACTCCTTGGGTTATGTAAAGGTACCTTTGATGATTATTTTTACACAGGTTTCATTTGTTGCAAAGCCAATTTTCTTTAGGAATGAATGCACAGGTCATGCTAGAGGTAATCAGGAATGTGTTCACAAATCAAAATATACGAACAATAGAAAGTATCGTTTCAGCAAGTATCATTGGAAATTGCCATCTCAAAGGTGGTTTCTTTATCTTGTGCGGAAATAGCCTAAAGACTGGTGTTTTGATCCTAAAGTGGCATCTTTCAAAGTTTTTGATTTCCACTTCACAGACGTTACCGAGTGCAGTGATTTTGCAGTTAAAATACTCCCGCTGCCAACAGACCAGGTCTTACTAGAGGCGACAGTGATGTTAACTTGTGTTGTATCCAATCTTCCTTTCGGAGTCATCATCACCTGGGAACAAGAAAAGAAGACTCTGAAATCAGAGATTGCTGACCAGCCTGGAGAGCATCGTGACAGCGTGATCAGCAAATTAGACATTTCTACTCAAGCCTGGCTGAGTGGGGTTAATTTCTACTGCGTGGTGAACCATCAGAATCTACCGACTCCTCTGAGAGACTCCATCCGCAAGGAGAAAGGTGAGCGAGGAGGTGAAAGCAAAAGCATCCCATGAGTAACTTAGATCCAGTTACATCAGTATCATGCTTTGATTGGTAATGAACGAACACCGTTGGGGGCATTAATGATGCATTGCATGGCAGGATAGCTACGTCGCCTATTAAGAAAAAGATAGATTAAAGGATATTCTAACATGGCAGGAAGAAGCTTTGTTTGTGACTCAAACATCAGTAATGACAAAAGGACAGAATTTTCTCATTGTGGGTTGGAAACATGGAGGCGACTTTCGAAGTAAACTTTTTTTTTAAAATGAATAGAAAGGATAGTATTCTGCTCCCTTAGAAAATGAAAGTGAATAAATCCCAAATTAAAAATGGAATATTTTAATATTTAGTAAAATCCCAATATTGATTCTGGATTTTCAAAATTCATTTATGTTTGTTTCAAATATTTTGCAGCGACAAATCCGCTGGCGCCGTCAGTGTCTGTCCTCCTGCCACCGGCGGAAGAAATCTCCGATCAGAGTTTTGTCTCCCTCACCTGTTTAGTGAGACATTTCTCCCCCCGAGAGATCTTCATCAAGTGGACTACCAAAGACACGCTGGTGAATCCCAGTCACTACAAAAACACCGAAGTGACGACGGAGAGTGACAACACCTCCTTCTTCATATACAGCCTGTTATCCATTGCAGCGGAGGAGTGGGCCAGCGGTGCTTCTTACTCCTGTGTGGTGGGACATGAAGCGATTCCATTGAAGATCATCAACAGAACCGTTGATAAATCCAGTGGTAACCGAGCTTTGTGAACATTTCACTTGCACCGATGGACACGATTAATTCATGCCAATGAAAATCTTAAGATTACACTTAAGAGTTCAATAAAAGTAATAAAGCTTCTTTTCCCACTCCAATTGTGATTTAAGTACCCAACGTTTAATTAGTTGCTTTTCCCACTTTTACTAATGTTCAATCCGTCCAGGTGATGTCGATAATTAACAGGTCTAGGGACTCGTGACTGTGCGATCAATGCTCTCTGTTCAGACAAAACTTGGGTCTGAGACAGAGTGAAGCTCACTCTCTGCAAGATTTCGCAAAGTACCTTCTCCATCTTAAATCCCACTCAGACTAAATCTGACAATATCCACTTTATGACAAATGATCACCACGAACATTGATCTTGATGTTCCTGATTCCCCAATTGCCCATTCCCACAAAATTCATGTCAGCTTTAAACTGGCGCTTTGCATCAAATGGGAGTAGAAACTTAACAGATTTTTAAAATTATTTTTGACTGAGGCATACAAACAGGAAAGAAAAGCTATGGCCACCAATCGCAAAGAGTGCAGAGCAACTTGAAGTTAACCTTTGTTTCTGCGGAACTGCCAGGGATCTGGCATCAGGGCAGTCGTTGAAAGAACGTATCTTCAGTTCCATTCCAAAGAAAACCGGAAGAAGTTTTGCTATTGTTGAGCAGAGGGACATAAGAGAGGAACGATTGACGGACTGTACTGTGACTCCCCGTGTAGAGTTTTCACGTTAAAGGCCCTCTGTAATGTGAAATATTTGTCGACAGGAACAGTCAGCTTTCTGCTTGCTGTCTGAAGATTTAAACTTTCCATGCAAAATGATGCCTTTGAAGCATATTGGACTGCTAGTATTCCACCGTTTTGTCTCAGTTTTGTGGAACTCATGGGATGGATTCTGGTATTCGAACACCTGACATCATTTTGTTTTACGTAAAGAACACTTGCAGATATTTTCTAATCAACGTACTCAGAAATGTTATTATACATCTCTGGAGCAGTGGGCATTTGACGTCAGGCCTCTTGTCTCAAAGACAGAAATTCTATCACTGCATCAAAAGAGTCTTTCACAAAACGCTTATTTCTCCATGATGGCGAGAAATGTTCCCTACACCATCAATGTTGACAAAATTGAACAGAGTCTGGTGTAAGATCAACACACAGATACAGACACGTTCACAAACACACGCATAAAGACACAATTATACAGGCGCTCACCTAAAGGAACATTCATATGTGCACACACGCTTGCACCCACAGAGACACACATGCATAATGTACATGAGCAGTGATATAAACACTTACAAAACGCATATACACAGAAAGAGATACGCAAACAAATGAACAGGAGTACCCACAGGTAATCATGAAAATCACAGACACACATTAACCCACAAATGGACAGGAATACTTGTACGTTCATACACCGTAATACATGGAGACATAAGTGCATAAACACATAGATACAACATCCGAGAAATGACCTCCTACACGTATACTCACACCGGCACATATGAGCACAGAGATAAATATTAATCTCATTATTATCCCAATTTCACAAACATAGACATATGAGAACAGAGGAAGCTTAATTACTTATTTTAAACCACATTCATTAGCACATATATATGGGCACGGTTACATCAAGTTCAGAATCTCACAGACCGTCACACATGTGCATAGGCCGACAGATCATTGGGCATTTGCAAGAATTATGACACAAGTATCAGCAAACATTTACACGTAAGTACACAAACAAGAGTTGGTTTGGTATATATAGACGCACAAGTAGACATTATCACAAAAATATAAACATCTCTCAAAACATAAGTTTGTATTCTAATATAACACATTCATGGAGCACAAACATGCAAAAAAAAACTCGACAGAGATAAGATCGGAAATAGACACTTTAACACATAGTTTAGATGGCATAAATGCAAAAAAATACACACATTCACAAAAGCACTAAAACATTGTCATAGACATCAACAAATAAAATGGTATATTAACATAATGATGCTTGCACATTTTGAAATGAACAAAATTTACATACACAAGCATAACCATGTAAATGAACAAAAACCGAAAGTACCGCGGATGCTGTAAATCAGAAATAAAAACAAAGTTGTTGGAAAACCTCAGCAGGTCTGGCAGCATCTGTGAAGGCAAAAAACAGAATGAACACATCAGAAGTAAAGGAACGTGGATATGTTTCATGATGCACAAACTCCAACATGGACACGTACGAAGTAAAAGACACTCATAACCACATACCGAAACACTAAAAGAAAACATACGCACCAAGATATGAACAGAAATAAATTAAGGGATATATGCACAAAACGTAATTCCTAACTCATACAGTTTCTACAAACAAAAATATGAAGCAAAGTCCTTACTGTGGATCTAATTTATATTCGTGATTTCCAAGAAATCGGTCACAAATAAATGAAGAAGATGAACAATTTGAACTTTTATCCAATGACGACCACAATTTTCAACTAAACAGAGGTCGTAGCCTATATTTAAAATATAATGATATAATTAATATAATCGTTCCCAATGAGTATTCCGCAAAAGATAAACGTGATAACATTCTCCAATAATAGATTAAATGATGAAATATTTCAAAATATTCTCACACTTATATTAAAGGAAGAAAATGCTCAGTTAGTATTAGCAAGTTAGTACTGAGACTCACTAACGCAATAATAGATACAGATCGAGAGTCAAATTTGAGAACAACCTGACGGCTTGAAGAAGATGTAACGGTCCCTGATTCCAGTACTTAGATACAGATATGTCGGACTGGATCAATAAAGTATCTAAATACGTTCTCTCGTCTTTATATTCGTAGATTCGATAGATCGCACTTGGATTGAAAACTATGAGAACGATTACAGCAACATCAGGAAAACTGCTTCCACATTCATCACCCTGTTCTTCCTGAGTATTTTCTACAGCGCTGCCGTCACTCTGGTGAAGGTGAGAACAATGAAGTCATTCGCACTTCAAACAGACAAATAAGACTTGTGAAATCTCTAATGGTGTCATTGAATAAAAATTAAAACCTGAAAGCCTCTGATCATAATCGTTAATTTGTCCCTCTTTTCTAGGTCAAGTGAATGAATTTTGGACACCTTAGATTTTCTTCATCTGTTTATAGAGGCCCTTGAATTCAAAATCTACAATCTGTCATTTTGCTGATTCCAACAGTGAGGTAACTTGAGTTTATGAGCGTGTAGCTGAGAAAATAATTGATGGGTTTTCCATTTTAATTTGTTTGATGTCGTTGAGATAATTGTGGTTGGAATACTTTGTAGCTTCCCAATTGTTTGATATCCATTTGTAATTTTCTTTCAGAATGGTTGCCTAACCTTTATGTTGAGCCCGTATTTTCTCTTCCTCGAGTCTGTTACAGATGTGTATAAAATTCACAACTCACAGCACATGCGATCTCATCTCAATGTGGCATTCAGTCATTATATTCACTTCTATTAACTTTAACATAAACCATTCGATAAAAATGCCGTCTGAAATAGTTAATAAATTTTGAATGAATATGCACTAACACTGAGTTTGTTTAATTCTTTCTTCAAAGCCCATCGGTAATGATACATTTTCCCAAGTTGACGCGTCCTGCTCCCTTCCCAGCCAAATACTGTTCTCTGGTTATGTTTGGCTGTATTTCATCCAGTCATTTAGGTTAATGCTGCGCCACCTTCGGTTGACTAATGTAAATCCATCTTTCACTCGGTATGTCTTATGGAACACTCCAGAGGCAGAATGATAAGAGCGCAAGAAGGCCCTCGGTGTTTCTTCTTATGCGCAGAGTGTCTCGGCTTCGGGTGAACTAATTATTAACATCAGGAACGTTGCTGCACTAAAAACCTATAAAAGGCAGGCAATGGAGTTAAGAAGCTTCCTCTGTCTAAATTAAAAATACAACCAATGTCGGTACAGCCTGGCTTAGTATTGTTTAAAGCTCCAATAAAATATCCGATTAAACATTCATCAGCCAAAAAATGTCAACGTTCAGTCGGAAATACAGACAGAACAAGTAGACATACTGAGGAGTGATTCTCAGAGCTGGAGTTTTTCTCACACAGAAGGTTCATGGAGCACAAATCTTTGGATATGTTTGACACACCACACCTGTCAAATCCCAGGGAATGAAACTGAGGTCTGTCTGATAAAGAGATATAACTGAATAGCAAACGTCAAAAATTATGAACCAGCGGCCGATGTCGATCAGGCAAGGCAGAGATGCGAAGTCCTGGAAATATTTAGCCATTGGGACCAATGTGGTGCAAGACAGAATTCAGCACCAATAATAGGAACTGTTCGCAGAGTTCGGGAAGCTGTCTATTCTAGAGACGCTGAAGCCTTCTCCACTAGTTTTAATTTATTTATTCTGGAGCTCTATATGTAATATGAACCCCTGATTGAAAACTACTGTAAGCATTTCAAATCACCCATCAATTAAGATTTGCCTCGGCCAAATTTGATATCTTGGTCAGCTGAAGCACCCAATGGTTGGTAATTATTTGAAGCATGATATGAATTTGTCAAAACAAGCTTTCCCATTTTATCTTAATTTGCCATTTAATCCTTAAACGTGAACGTTATATCTCAACAAGAGATGAATGACCAATTAAATATCTATAACAATTACATAACGTGCATCCTCAACATTAAAACGAATTGTTCACGGAATGAAATTAGGTCACCACAGAGTCTCTCCCAAACCATTGGAGCAAGAGTCTCATATTTTCATCGCAGCAGAATTGTTAAACGTGCAAAATGTCTAAAAGTAATGCAGAGGCGGATCGAAGGAATGGAAGTGAAAATGGTAAAGGCGTTGCTAGTGTGCAAAACATTAAATATAAACTGACTATAGAAATTGTGGAACTCTGCTAAATGTGGGAGATGCGAGGACAGAATTTTATGGTTACTGTTTAATAAACACGCACATCACTTCTGATGAATCACAACTAAACGCCCTTTAGGGAAGGAAATTGCATTCCTTACCTAGTCTGGCCTACATGTGACTCCAGACCCACAGAAAAGTGGTTGACTCTTAACTGCCTTCTGGGCAATTAGAGATGGGTAATGAATGCTGCTTAGCCAGCGACGCCCTTCACGCCGTGAATGAGAAAAGGACAACTGCCCTTTTAAAGCATTACACCAGGCTAAATGCTCATAAACTTTTGAATGCCACGATTTATCCCGAGTCCACTGCATACTTTACTGGCACATTAATTATCCGAAACATTCGCTGCATTAAAATCCGTCTCACTTTATCTAATGTTGTGTTGTTTCTATTGTCAATTATATTTAACCAGCGGCTGAATGCTCTCAATCCTTCTTCAGCGGAAGCATTTTCTTCCTATCCGACTCTGCCAAAACTCATCAGTAGTTTAAAGAGTTCAATCAAATTAAAAGTTACTGTTCAACAGAGGAGAACAGTCCCAATTTCTCAATGTCGGTGAGGTGATTCTTCCCGGGAACGGTGTTGTGAATCAGTCATGCATCCTCTCTCCTGACTTTGCATTCTTTCAAAGATGTGACACTGACAGCTGACATTGGATGCAATATTCCAGGTGAGACACGCCATTGTTTTATTTCAGTTCAGCATAATTCCTTTGTATTTGTTCTCTACAGCGCTAAGTATGAAGTAAGGTTGATTTGTTGTACTCTCGACGTGTCCTGGTACATTACCTGATTTGTGCAGATATACAAAGAGGATACTCTGCTCCTGCATCCCTTTGGATTTACACATTGACAATTAAATGTTCGTCCGAACTCATTACAATACAAAGAAGCATGTCACACCTCCATGAGACTGAGATCTATCTGACACAAGGATATCAATGAATAACAACCCTCAAAGATTATAAATCAGAACTCGACGTCGATCAGGGAAGGCAGAGATCAGAAGTACTGGAAACCCTGCTGATTTCCTATGACGTCCTTTCCTGCAACCTCTCTGTAAAGTTTTGAAGTTCTTCACTGTTCTCCCAATATCCTAATATTTTACCTTAAATTGTTATTAACTTTTTTTTGTAATTATTCTTTATATACCTATGCACAGGTTGAAACAACCAAGGACTCCAAACACTGAACTCCAAGAATGTGCATGAGAAGGCATTCTGAAAAGGCAAACAGCCGTAAACAAATTATTGACCAGTACAAAACAGCGGGTGAGATAAATTTGTATTAATTAAAAAAATACAGAAAATACTCTGAAGGTACAGCAGCCCCGGCAAGACCTGAGTGGAGAGAATGGGAGTTAGTTTTTCTTCTATTGTCTTTTATATCCAGAAGTGTCCTTACACACATTGTAACTTCTTTATTTCCCACCACCAAGTCACCCACGGTATTTTTATTTTCAGCTATTAACCAACACCAGTAAATTATCCGTGTTTCCACCTGAAAGGCCGTTAAGGGCAATTCACACTAACAAAGGTGAGGGAGTCGTAGAGATTACTCCTTAATTAGAGTAGGGCAAATTTTGATAGTATGAGACAAGAACTTTCAAGAGTTGATTGGAGTAGACTGTTCACAAGTGAAGGGCCAGCTACCAAGTGGGAGGCTTTCAAATGTGAAGTAACGAGAGTTCAGAGGCATTATGTTCCGATTAGAGTGAAGGTAAGGCTTACAAAAGTAGGGAACAATGGAGGCAAAAATGAATAAGAATGAGTCATACATTAGATATAGAAACTGAGATCAAGTGAATATCTTGAAGAGTATAAGAGGTGTGGAGACTACTTAACAGTAAACTCAGGAGGGCAAAATGGCTATATGAAATAGCCTTGGAAGATAATGTTCAGGATAATCCAAAGAGATTCTACAAGCGCATTAAGAGCAAAGGAGTAACTAGGGAAAAAATAGCCTCCTCAAAGATCAGTCTCAATGTCTGGAACCACAGGAGATCTGAGAAATACTAACTGTCAGTGACAGTTTATACTGTGGAAGAAGAAATGGAGGGTTGGGAATTTATGGAAATAAATATTGACATCTTGCATACAGTCCACAATGCAGAAAAGGAGTTGCTGGAAAGTTTCTTTTGAAGTCGTAACCTAAATGGTTGATGAGTGCAAAGTGGTAGCCGTTGTTAACATGGATTTTAGTAAAGCCTTTGACAAGGTTTTGCATTGTAGACTAATTAGTAAAGTTATATCACACGAGATTCAGGGAGATCATGCCAATTCGATACAAAATTAGTTCGATGGTGGGAGACAAAGAGTGGTGTTGGAGGATTGTTGTTTTTGGACTGGAGAATTGGGACCAGTGGTGTTCCGCAGGTTCTGGTGCTGGGTCCACTTTTGTTTGTCATTTATATGTACGATTTGAATGAGAAATTAGGAGGCGTGGTTAGTAAATTTGTGGATATACCAAATTGGTGGTATCATCAACAGTGACGAAGGTTATCTAAGATTCCAAAGGGATCTTGATCAATTGGGCCAAGTGGCTGGGGAGTGGCATAAGAAGTTTGATTTGGATAAATGCCAGGTATTGCATTTTGGTAAAATAAACAAGAACGGGACTTATTCAGTTAAAGGTAGGGATTTTGGGTAGTGTTGTCGAGCAGACATTCAGGAGTTCGAGTATATATTTCTTTGAAAGTTGCATCACAAGTGAACAGGTGGTTAAGAAGGCATTTGGCACGCTTGCCTTCATTGCTCAAGCCATTGATTAGAGGAGTTTGGACGTCATTTTAGCGTTGTACAGGACGTTGGTGAGACCATTTTTGGAGCACCGTGTACATTTCTGTTTGCCTGCTATAGGAAGGATATAATTAAATTGATGACGGCTCAAAAAAGATTTACCAGTATGTTGCCAAGGCTGAACGGGTTGCATCCTAAGGATAGGCTGGATAGGCTGTGAATTCTTTCACTGGAGCGTAAAAGGTTGTGGGGTGGCCTTATAAATGTTTATAAAATCATGAGCGGCATAGATAAGGTGAATAACAAAGGCCTTTTCCATAGGACAGGTAAATTCAAAATTAGGGGGGTATATTTTTAAGGTAAGGAGAAAAATTTCAAAGGGAAATGAGGGGCACTTATTCATCCAGAGTTGTGGTCATGGGTGGAATGAACTGTCAAAAGAAGTGGTAGATGCAGGTACAGTTGCAACATTTAAAAGACATTTAGATAGGCACATAAATACGAAAGGTTTAGAGCGATGTGTGGCAAACACAGGCAAGTGGGATTAGTTTAGTT